GAGAGACGCTAACAGGCAACAATGAGAATCAACATAATGACAGAGTGGAGGCAGAGTGACACTTCTCTAAATCAATATTTAATCTGAGGACAGAGCACCCAGAAACAGAAAATAAAAGTCAGGATCCGTCCCGTGTGGAGGACGGAGCTCATTAGAGGTAAAACGCTGCAGGTTCCCGGGTTTGACCGGATAGAGACTCAATGCAGAATAAGAATCCGGGCGAACGGTGATTGACAGGTACGAAGGTGCGGATGAGACGTTCTGGTTTGTTTGCTTCTTCACAGTCTGATAAACAGAGGACAGAGGGACGGCGGCCCGCGTCTATTCACGGCCTCGGCCGGGCGACAAAAGACACGGCCCGGACACACATTCCAGTCTGCTTCCGCTCCAGCACACAAGCTCAATCCCAGGGATTTCCCCTTTCAACGAGGGGGGGGGAGAGAGAGAGAGAGAAAAAGAGGCTACAATATCACGTCCTTTAGATGGAGGGAGAGAGCGGCCGGGGTACGCAGGGTGGAGGGACTCCTGTCATTCACTCTTTGAAACACTTCCTGATTTAGGTTTCATGGGCAGTCAGGATCTCTCTGTGGTGAGCGGAGGAGGGAGGGAGGGAGGGAGGGAGGGTGGGGGTTGGGGGGGGGCAACCTTTCAGGTTTGGTCCAGGGAGGGGCCGATCTGGTGCCATCCATATACAGCAGCTTTTAGTTTGGGAATGTGAGTAAGAACTGTTGTCCAGGGTTGAAATGTTTCTGTTGGTTTCACAGCAAGTCTAAAGCAGGTGTGTCCAACGTCCGGCCCGCGGGCCAATCGTGGCCCACACTCCTACAGCTCAGAGACATAAAACAGACTTTAAACTTGGCCACAGCTACGAAGTAGAAGTCGATGGAGGATGAGGGCCGCCGCTTTTCAGGAGGAGGGAAAGATCAATACTCCTTCAACTGAAGGACAAAGCTCATCTGCAAAGAGACAGTCGCTGTTATGAAAGAGTTCAATGTGAAAAGACAAGAAGATAATTCATACCAGCAACACCCCCACCCCCCCCACCCCCACCCACCCCATTGAACTTGAGTTCAAAGAGAGTGGTCGTGGGGTGTTTGTGTGCATGCGGTTGTTGCCATGTCACCACACACTCCCCCGGTTCCTGCATGTGTACTTCCACTACACCTCATATTCTACTGTGGCATACAAGTGAAAAAGAGAGANCACCCAGCGGCTGCTTCTCACACGCCGGGGCCCCCAGGTATTTTCACATTATCAAATCTGGCCCCCAATCCAGAAGAACTCTGGACGCCCCTGGTCTAAAGGCATCACCCTGAAGACACATCATTCTGCTAAAAGGCCGCTCATTAACGAAGATGGAACTGCAGCTTGATCTTCCTGGAGACCAGTGAGGAGCAGAATAATGAGTCCTCACAGCTGATCACTCCTGCAGAGTGATGCTCTGCAAAGGCAGCGGCTTCCTATTATACAAGAAGGACTCAAACTCAGGACTATTTGACAACTGAAGCAAGAGAAGATTGAAATAAGGACTCGTGTGTGTGTGTGTGTGTGTGTGTGTGTGTGTGTGTGTGTGTGTGTGTGTGTGTGTGTGTGTGTGTGTGTGCTGCCTCTGTAATGGCATCTGCTTAGTCTCTTGGAAACAACAGAGGAGGCAGACGGACAATAAGCTTTAATAAAGACGTTTCTCTGGGAAGTTAACCGTGATCAGTCGGTGTTTATCTCATTTTTGAGACTCGTTAATTGTGTGCGCCACAGAACACACACACACACACACACACACACACACACACACACACACACGCACGCTGCGCTGAGTGTGGACATCCAGACGCACTCGTTGGCGCAGGGGCACACTTCAGCCTGGAGTGTCCCGTCTGAGCGGCTCTGTGAGACTGAGAAGCGTCTCCCTAATTAGAGGCAGCCCGGTGCTGGACGTCTCTATAGGCCGAGGACAGGGCCCTTTGCCGGCTTTGTTCAGCAGCCTCTTCTTCCACTGAAGCTGTCACTTTACTTTTCTATAGGCCCGAGGGCCGCGCTCCTCGACACTGTTGTCTGCTCCCAATCACACAAACAGACATTTCCAGGGAAAATCTCTGCAGCAACAACAAGCTTTTATAGAGAGTGAAGCCGCTTCATGAGACAGTTTCTCTCTGAAACTTAAACTCAGCTCGGACTGAAAATCTCATAAACTCCCGGCGCGAGACACTAAAGAGAGAGAGAGAGCTGCTCTTTGTTTCTGAGCCGAACCTGTCACGCCGCTTTAAGATGTAATTATTTCCAACTCATTTTTGCATAGAAACCTAATTATTCACCGAGATATAAATTAGATTCCACATTCATGGAGACCACGAGCCCCCGTATAAACTCCTGCAGGACACTATTCAGCGGCGAGCCTCTTTCTCTCCCCTGCGCCCTGAGATGGAGAGAAGCCACTGCAGCTGCTATTCACATCAACCAGATAATTGTTAATGAAAAGTCATTGCGTGGCATTATGTTGTTCACAGGATCATTGTTCATTTTCCCCCATTGCCACTGAGGTCTATATGGAGGACCAGAGTGTTTCCTTTGAGTTTTGGTATTCAGGATCTGTTGCCTGGTAACTAATAAAGGGGCAAATCATCCACTGTATTGGCCAAGATGGGCCGCAGACTGGCCCTGCACAACAATGCGAGGTTTGTAAAAAGGCGTTGATACAAGTTAATGATGCTTGTTCAACAAAACCTTAATGGACTTCTTCACGGTATAATATGGCATGGGATGCGATGTGAATGAGAGGGGGGAACTTCAGCACTGCACTTTAACAAGTTTGTGTGTTTTTTTTACTACTGGGAGGAGCTGGACGCGCACACGCACACGCACACACACACACTTGCACAGACTCTCATACTAGATATTTTCTTTTTCCACTGAGGAGAATAAAGTTAATAAACCGGCCTCTGAAGACTTTCATTTTTTTTTTTATAAAACTTGTTTTTAAATTCCCTATTTAAATGTTATTTTCATGTTATTGAATAGGCCAGTGATTAATTACCCATCAGCTTGATCTGAAAAGGGGGTTGAATGGTGGAGGGTAACCGCTGCAATATAAAGAAGAGGCAAGAGAGAGGTGGAGGTGGGGCCCTATATCTATCTATCTATCCATCCATCCATCCATCCATTGCACCGGCTTCTCTCTTAACCGAAGCAGACAAAAAAACTGCAGCCCTGTCACCTCGAGCAGAATAAAGGGAATCAAAGGATTTTTCCCTTAAATGGACTAATTTTCTCCTTGAATTATGAAAGTCGTGGCTAGGTAACAGGCTGTGCTCAGTACCCGCCGGCTTAATGCTTCCTAAATCCTTCCACGTGGCTCCACTAGTCCTGGCAATTAGGCCTCATTATAGCCTCATAAAGGATCTCATTTGTGGGATTACTTAATAGACAATGAAATTTTATCGTGCAGAATTATGGAAAAATAATATTGGAGCTCGCATGGTGTGATGAGGGCGCGCGCCACGCATCATTCCGCTTGGTTTGCTTGCTCCCTCTCTCTCCCTCTCTCTCTCTCTCTCTTGTTTCAGACTATCTGTGCCATAACAGTTCTGTGCGTCTTCCTTGTCAAGCGCTGGATTCACGTTATTATAGCAATTACAGTCAGTGTGACAGACATGTTTGTTTTGTTTCATCTGCACCGTGGTTGGATTTTAAAGACTTTCTAATTCCCTCAGAGAGTTTCACTAAAGCTTCAGCTGTTCTCATGTGCTGCTTCAATAATCAGAAAGTTGGTTTATCTTAAAGGGAAAGTGCACGAGAGACAGTTAGGGTGAAGCCTTCAGCTCCACCTCAGGCCTGTTCCTCCACCTCTCCGTGTTTCCTGAGGTCAGAGGAGGAACCGGCGTGTGGTGTCGGACCCGGACCGGCTGCAGCATGAACCCACCGCCGGACGGCCTCTGTCTGAAGGTCCGAGGCGTTACTTGGCAGATGAAAGCAGAAGCTAAACCTGCCGGTGACCCGCCTGCGGATCAAACCCGCTAATTATTGTCACAAGATGAGGGATTACCGCATTTCTGAAATAGCTGCCTGTTTACCCCCGCACAGAGCCGCCATTATAAACACTTTCTAATTGAATCCTAATCGCCATCGAATAACCGCGGCCCAGACTCGTCATCGGTTCATAATTCTTTAATTGCTGGAAGTGAAAACTGGACCAACCGGATTCAAAGTGTGATTAGGACCGCGAGGCTGCTCACGGTCGCGCGCGTGCACAATTCAGTCAATCGCATTTGCAAAAAAAAATAAAAAAATAAAAAAATAAATAAAAATAATAATTTGAATAAAAGTAGTTTTGGATAAAGTTCATTTTATTCTGAAGCTTTGGTTTGTGGTGCAATGATTTAAAAAATTCAGACAATTCACACTGATCTTAAAAAGATATTATTCTGTTAGAAATCAGTTTCTTTCTGTTCCACTTTCACTGCAGCTGCTCCAACAGGTTTATACTTGATCTCGTGTGTTTCATGAAGTTAGTTTATATAATAACAACTGTTTCCAAATGATGTTTTAGAAATGTGCAGTTTCAGATTGATCATTTCGAATTAACGCACTAAATCTAATTTTACAGCAGCGCGAGTATTTATGATCTTTGAGGCTTTGTTTAAACTTTTGGAATAATTTGCAGAACTTTAAATGAAATGAATCTGAGCAGAATAAAAGCGGCGCCTGGTTTTATTTTTTCTTGTGTCCGAGACTTTTTTTTTTTTTTTTTTTCCAAATTCGGGGATAAAAAGAGAAAATCTGCAAGTTGTGATTGGAGGCCCGGGGAGACGTCACGTGGTTTGGGTCGCTGACAGTATAAACCCTTACCGCCGGCTGCGCACGTGGGTGACGCTGCAGGGCCAACCCTCTTCGGGGTCCCTTTTGTTGAACCATCAAACATAAGCACCTTTGGAGATCCCGAGGGGTTCAGATGAGAAACAGCCATCATCTTGCGCGCGGAGCCATCACTTCTGAGCGGCGCAGTCATGTCCAGGTCCTTCTACGTCGACTCTTTAATAATCAAGGACACGGTGCGGCCGGGACCGGCTGAGCACCCGGGACAAGACTTCCTCATTCCCATCAGCATGCACTCTCCCAGCGTCATGACGGTCACGGCTCCGGTGTGCCCGTCCAGGAAAAACGGGACTTTCTGTGTTTGCCCGCTGTGCGTCACGTCCCACATCCACTCTTCCCGCAGCGGCATTCCCATGCTGAAGAGTCAGTTTCCGGGAGCGGAGGCGCAGTACTGTCAGAGGATAGCGCACCAGCAGTCTCCGGCACTCGCTCACCCGGGACACACACCTGTCTGCACGCCCACCTTCAGCGTCACAGACCCCAGGAGATACCACTGTCTTTCTATTGGTAAGCACCTGTTCGCTTCTCTCTCACTCTGCTCGGCACCTGTTTGATTTCTCTTTACATCTCGTGTTGCACTTTGAGGCAGGTGCGTGGATGCCACCGCTCGGCTTTTACGCACGTTGGTTTACGCGCGATACTTTATGTTCCCTGCATCTTTGACAGAGTTTAGATTCTCAGTGATGATACGAAATTATCTGTCTGACATCAAGAATTTTTTCTCTCCAACAGGCGCCTCTGAGAACAGCCACATACAGAATGGCAAGAGGATGCGCACGGCTTTCACGAGCACGCAGCTCCTGGAACTTGAACGGGAGTTTTCCACGAACATGTATCTGTCGAGACTCAGAAGAATCGAAATCGCCACGTATTTGAACCTGTCGGAGAAACAGGTGAAAATCTGGTTTCAGAACCGCCGCGTGAAGCACAAGAAGGAGGGCAAAGCCACCCAGAGGAGCGCGCACAGCGGGTGCAAGTGCACAAGCGCTCACACAGACTATTCAAGGTCAGAGGACGAGGAGTCTCTGTCTCCTGCCTCTGCTACGGAAGAGAAAGAGGTGTCACCCATCTGAGAGGAACACGACCCCCCCCCCCATTCCCACAGTTCCCACTGCACTCTGCCCTGCTACAGTTTTGGGTTATTGCATCACGCAATGTCTGAGCCACAAAAAAACAAATCTCCTGCATGAAGTCTGAGGAGAGCTGAATGTTGTTCTTCTGCTGTTAAAAAATAATTAAAGGAAAAAATATGTGAATTGAAATATTTGGAAACATGATGCTGATGTTCTCACCTGCTGATCGAGTCCCCCCCCCCCCCTACATGTTCTGCCTGATATCCCATCACTGTCAGTGAGGTTGTGTGTGTGTGTGTGTGTGTGTGTGGTGTTGACAGCCCGTAGAAACACTAGAGGCCGAACTGTGTGGAACCTGCACGCAACAATTTGTAAACTATGTATATCTGTATTTATTGTAATAAACATGAGGAGTTGACCTGAGACTTTGTCCGTGTATTGACTCACTATGATCAATGATGTGTTCATCAATGAAAAACCCAATACTGCAAATATAAGAATTATAAAAAAAAAAAGTAATTTAAAAAATATTTCTTCATCAATGAAAGTTGAGATAATTAAATTCAAATGAAATAAATTGCATTTGGGAATATATGCAAATACAAATGCTATTCACACATGACTTCTCCCGGCTCACTGATCAGCAGGAAACACATCAAACATCTAATAGACTTTAAATATAATAAATATCTTAAAAAACGTCTGAACACCTGGATTCATTTGTCTCAACAGGACAGTAAATTTCACAGAAGCAGTTTGTGTTTTTCTGCAGCTTCTCCGCCGCAACATCAGGAGACAGCTATCGTTATCAAGCTGTCATTACCGCACCGTTAGAGCGGCAGGATTTTCAAGTCACAAACGTTGCGTCGCGCGGCTCCATTTACATGATATAAGCTGTTTGAATCTAAATGGATGGGGTGAGTTTATATGAAAGTGTAGCTGTAATTTCTCCTCAGATCTGCCCACAAAAGGCGACCCGATGACGCCCCTGGGGAGCGGCCAATAGTCCGTTAATGGTCGCTTTTCAAAAGATTTTTTGCTCGTCCAAAGCGAGTTTAATTGCGTTTTCGGTCCCACGTTGGTTGATTATGCTGCTATTGCCTGAAACCACAGAACAAGGATATATAGAAGTGGGCAAAGGCTTTGACAGGTTAGATTGTCCTGCCTTGGGACTCGCATTTAGCCGGAGACCCCCGACGGCTGTGTGCTGAGAGAGCTTTGAGAGACAGCTACAGGGTTCCTCCGAGGGAGAGAGGACGATTTAGTCACTGTTTCATTAGGCACTATTTGAACCTTTCAACTTATGGTGAATTAAAGGGGGGGTGGGGGTGGGGGTGGGGTGCATGCTCAAATGGAAAGACTGTGAGGAGGGATTACGAAGGAGGGGCCACTGGAAATTAGCTGACGCCTAATTTAACTCGTTTCTGTCAGAGTTTGGGATACATTCCTAATTGAGAGGGGAAGCAGGTGAAGTCTTTGGTCCCACACAGACCCATTCAGCGCGGGAATAAATGATCCCCTTTCACACCCCGCCGGTCATCATATATCACTGAAGGGAAAGCCATCTGATGAATATATATTGAAGTTCCTATTAATCGAATTAGAGTTCCCTTGCAGGTGTGAAAAACCAATGCAGCATTTAAAGCGATTAACAATAGAATAAACTGCAGTTTAGAGAAAGACACGCCCCCCCCCTCTCCCCCCTCCTTTTTTCTCCCAGCCACTATAATGAGCTGAAACTCATTTTGACAGTAGATCTGTTTGTCCAGGAATGACTCTCTCTCCTCTTCCTGTCACACTCAGTAAAAGTTTCCTTCACGTTTCTTCTCAATAAAGAAATAAATAAAAACAAAAAGAAGAAGAATAAAATCATGTAGAGACTGTGGAACATACATTTAAGGCTCTATACCTTCTAATGCACAGGAAAAACAAGACCACTCCAGAGAGTCAGGCCTCGGCCACTATTGAAAATGTGACAATTACGCATGACAAAGGACAATTAATAAGAGGCCTTTGAGCCGCTGCAGCTGCTGTCTCATGCGGAGAAGAAGCTGAAGTGCCGGAGTGGAGACGAGGGGAGAAGAGACGTCCACTTTATTTATGATTCAGCACCGCGATATCCATCCGCCATACATGCGGCCTATATAGCGCTCATCTAAATTTAAATATGTGAGGGTCCCCTCCTCTTCAGCTTGTTGAACCGGTGATGGGCCCCTGTTCATCTAGTGCTGCTGGACTCAGTATTTTGTGAATAATTAAGGGTCCCTCTGTGAGGGAGGGGCCTGTTTATTCATCATAATGGTGACCTTTCCAAACTAAAAGTCGAGTGGGGGAATCTATCTGAGCACGAGGCGTCGGGGCCGCGGGAGAACCGGAGAGCTGATTTATTCATGTTGATATTAGAAATGAAAAATTCAATTTACCACAGGGATCAAAGAAGTGAACTTTATACCGCCTACAGCCCGAGGCGCGTTTCAATGACGTCAGCTTCTCTTTACGTTTAACATTCAACAGTTTCCTGTATTATGTTTAAATTAATAGATGAATTAATTAATTAATTAAAGCCCAATTCTTCTGTTTTATTTATTTATTTGGTATGTACGAGTTAGATAGATAGATAGATAGATAGATAGATAGATAGATAGATAGACTGATAGATAGATAGTTCAGCACGCTGGACAGCTCCCACAGGGACCGCCGCCCGAAGGCCTCCGTCAGCCTGTGGAGTGAGTCATCTTCACTCATTTAACATCTCTGCTGCGTGACGTCACGTGCTGGATGTGACGCGCTGTTAGGTCAGGTATGTTGTACGATTATCACCTGCAACTGTTTATAGTCTTAGATTCGCAACTCGGACAGCGACCCAATCAGAGTGTTCCACCTGAGTGACGCAGACGTGACGACACTGAGATCACACCTGCAGCTCATTGACCTCTGAGAGAG